TACCTGTTTATCTTGAGTATGTTTTTGAAGTCACTTTTTCTTTGTTTTTTTTTTTGTGGAGAAAGAAGCTTCAGTTAAGTACATTGTCTCTTAATCATTTTCTTGCCAATTTTTTTTTAATTCTGTTGATTTTTGTGTGTGTATGGTTATTTCTATTAGCTGTTTTTATTATGATCATACAGGTTTGTTTTTTTTCTTTTGCTCTGTTAATGTGATGTGTTATGCTGTTACTGGGAGTTTTTTCTTTATGTATTAAGCTACCCTTGATTCCTATAATAATACTATTTCGTCACAATGTGTTACCCTTTTTACTTATGTTGGAGTCAAGGATTTTTATATCTGATCATGAGGGATATTGTCATATAATTTTGTAATATTTTTTGTCAGGTTTGGGGTTTGGGCTTATAATGCTGACCTCAAAAATTGTAGGTAAAAAATAGTAGGAAAATTGTCTCTTTGTTTCTTACTGAGTTCGTGTAGTATTGATATTATTTCACTAGTAAAGCTATATTGCAATTCTTAGTAGAATGGGTTTAGACTGTAAATTGAATACCTTTAACACACATGGGGCTGATTCCTTCTTTGTAGTCTGCTCTTAGTCTGGAAGCTCCACTGAAAACTGTTCACATTGGTGACCCTGCTGGCATTTGAAATACCAGTGACATAGCTTCCAGCATCAAAGCACACAAGCCACCATAGTACAACAAACTGACAGACAAGTGGTTGATCATCTGGTTGGTGGTTTTTAATTTCATACACTGATTTCAATAATTAGATATTCATAATTGTTTTATGGCTCTACACTGATTATTTCCATCTGCAATTGAACATGTATAGCCTATGATTGATAGATGCTGTGTTCTATATGTATCGGTTATGTGAAATTGTTTAGATTCTTTCTGTCTTTACTGTTACTTTGTCTGTTGTTTTTATAAATTACTAAGAGAAACATGTTAAAGTATTAAGATTGGAGAGGCGACCTGTGTCAAAAAAAAAAGTATTAAGATTGTAGATTTTCTGTTTACTCCTTAGTTTCTGCTTTGTGTGTTTTGAAACTTTATTATTACAGACACATTTCATATTATCTGCTTGAATCATTAATCTTCTAAAAAGATCTATCATCATAAATTTTTCTTTTTATCTCTAAACAATTCTCTGTTTTGAAAACGAGTTTGTTTGCTAGTAATATAGCACATCAGCTTTCTTACTGCTTAGTCTGTGCATGATATATCCATTTTGAAGAAGTTTCTTCTACTGAAATTTACAATTTCTTTTTGCATGTTATTTATCTTTTCTCACAATATCTATTGGGGATTTTTATCATAGTTGACTTTAAGGCACTGTCTGATCATCCTTGAGCAATCTCTGAGTCTGTCCACATTGACTATTTTCTTTTTTGAATATGGATTATATATATATATATATATATATATATATATATTTTTTTTTTTACTTTCAGATACCTTGTAATTTTTTGCTCTATGCCTAACATTCTATTTAAAAACATAGTTAAAATTAGAGTAAATGATCTTTTTCTCTAGAAAGTGACATACCAATTCTTTTCTTTCACTGCTAGAAAAGGAATTGAGTTTAGTATGATGCTGATATGAATTGAGGTTTTGTGGAAGTTTAAATTTGGTTAGTTTACCACTGGTTTGAAGGGTTTCTAGGCAGAATCAATACTTTTCTTCAGGGAGACCTCTTGTTTGAGCACTGGTGATTTTCTAAACAATTTAAGGTGTGCTTCACAGTTGAGTTATTGCCACTCAATATTTTTGGAGACATTACCATATTTTTACACAACATGCATTAGGACATGTGTGGAAAATTAGCATAGTGTGCTCACAAAAATATTTTTATGGTTGGCAAAATATATGTATGATTTTGACCGAGGGAGGCATATACATAGGTTTTTGTTTTGTTCCATTTTTGCCAACCACGCCCTCCCCTGTGGTATTTTTTAGAGTACAATATGATAATCTTCTTACATTTTTCTGTGGAAAATTTAGCATACCATCTTTATGATAATACCTAAGATAGGAGGGCAAAGTTAGAAATTATATCTATTTATTTATCTATATATGTGGATAGATGTTGCATTATTTACATAAAATTGCACCAGTTGCTTGTTGTTTTTGTCTTTACTGAGTTCTAGTTGTTCTTGAATTGGACTTCATATTTTATGCCCCTTGGGAGGTGCCTTTCAGCCTTTTACCTCTCCTCCCCTGGCCTTTCAAGGACAGCTATACTCTTTGAAGGCTTGGCTTGCTGAAGAGAATGGGAAAGTGTATTGAGTGGATTTATGCCTACTTTGTTCCTTAAGATTCTAATTTTCATGCCATCCTACAAAACCAAACTCACTGACTTCAGACAATGCTGATTCACAGTGACCCTCTGTGGGTTTCTGAGACTGGAACTGTTTACAGAAGTAAAAAGCCCAGTCTTTGACCTGCAGAGCTGCTGATAGTTTTGAACTGCCAAATATTCAGATAGCATCTCTGTATATATCCACTGTACCACCAAGGCTCACCAACCTTCAAGTGGCTCTTAAATTTTCTAGGGCGTGGTATAGCACTGGTGAAACACATAACTATCATTTAATTCTTTTTTTTAATCACTTTATTAGAGGCTCATACAACTCATATCACAATCCATACATTCATCCATTGTGTAAAGCACATTTGTACATTCATTGTTCTCATCATTCTCAAAAAATTTGCTCTCCACCTAAGCCCCTGGCATCAGTTCCTAACAGGAAGTTTCATCTTTTCTCCCTCAAGGGGGCTGATGACTTTGAACTGCTAACCTTGTGGTTCGCAGCTCAATGTACAATCCACTGCACCGTGAAGGCTCCCTTTAGTTCTTTAATATTTCCTCCCCTTACTATTTTTTTAAAGTCATTTTATTGGGGGCTTATGCAACTCTTATCACAATTCATCCATCCATCCATTGTGTCAAGCACATTTGTACATTTGTTGCCATCATCATTTTCAAAACATTTTCTTTCTACTTGAGCCCTTGGTATCAGCTCCTTTTTTCCTCTCCCTCTTCCACCCTCTTCCATTGCAAACCCTTGATAATTTATAAATTTTTTTTCCATGTCTTAGACTGATCGATGTGTCCCTTTACCCACTTTTATGTTGTCCATCCCGCAGCAAGGGGGTTATATGTTGATCATTGTGGTTGGTTCTCCCTTTCAGCCTCACTTTTTCCTTCCCCTCCTGGTATCGCTACCCTCATTATTGGTCCTGAGGGGTTTTTCTCTCCTGGATTCCCTGTGTTTCCAGCTCTGATCTGTACCAATGTATATTCTCTGGTCTAGCCGAATTTGTAAGGTAGAATTGGGATCACCATAGTGGGGGCGAGGAAGCATTAAAGAACTACAGGAAAGTTGTAAGTTTTGTCAGTGCTATACTGCACCCTGACTGCCTCATCTCCTCCCCTCAAACCTTCTGTAAGGGGATGTCCAGTTACCTACAAATGGGCTTTGAGTCCCCACTCTGCACTCCCCCTCATTCACAATGATATGATTTTTTGTTCTTTGATATCTGATAACTGATTCCATCAACACATCCTGATCACACAGGCTGGTGTGCTTCTTCCATGTGGGTTTTATTGCTTCTGAGCTAGATGGCTGCTTGTTTATCTTTAAGCCTTTAAGACCCCAGATGCTATATCTTTTGATAGCCGGGCACCATCAGCTTTCTTCACCACATTTGCTTATGCACCTGCTTTGTCTTCAACGATCATGTCAGATAGGTGAGCATCATGGAATGCCAGTTTATTAGAACAAATATTTTTGCATTGAGGGAATACTTGAGTAGAGGCCCAATGTTCATCTGGTACCTTAATATTAAACCTATAAATATATGCACATCGATCTATTTCCCCATAGTCATATATAAATATATTTACATATGTGCATGCCTGTATTTAAACCTCTATAAATGCCGTTTGCCTCCTACTTCTTTCCTCTATTTCCTTTGACTTTCCACTTGTCCCACTATCATGTTCAGCTTTCATTCCAGTTTCGGTAATTCCTCTGGGTTACATTGCCTTTGAACAAGTCCTACCAGACCTCCTACACGCTCCTTGCCATTGATTTTGGATCACTTGTACCCTTGTCCCTAGGTTTGTTAACACCCACTTCCTTTCCCCGCCTCCCCCTCTCCCATGTCCCCCTGGAACTGTGGGTCCCATTGTTTTTCCCTCCAGATTGTTTATTCTGTCTCACCTTACTATTCTGGTCTTTGCTTAACCTCATCAATTTTGTTAGATCTGCATATGTTCATTTGTATAATTAAGAACTTGGATGCAGGAAAGCCGAAATAGATAACCCTTCAGAAACACTAATGGAGTAACGATTCCCTGAAGGTACGGGAAGAGAGAAGGGGAGGGGGAGCTGATAGCAATGATGACTGTATAATCCCACTTGAGGGGAACGAATAACAGAATCGCGAGTGAATGGATACATTGGATGGTGTAAGATATGGCCAATAATAATAGTAATATAATAATAAGGCTTCCAGAGAGGTAGGTTGAGGGAGGGAGGGCATAAAGTGGAGCTCATATCAAACAGTAAAGAAGAAAGAAAATGTCCTAAATCTGATGGTGGTAGCAATTGTAAAATAATGCTTGATCTAACTGAATTATGGATTGTCATAATAGATATAAGAGCTCCCAATAAAATGATTAATAATAATTTAAAAAGCCTGCAAAAATATTTTTCAGGTGCTTTCTCTGTACAAACCTAGTCAGTGTTCATTCCTTCTTTTACTCTAAATGAGGATGAAAGTCATGTAGATTGCTTTTCCTAATGAGAGTTTATCACTTTCTAGAATTCAGTTCCCTGAATACTTCAAGGTTTTTTTAAACTATGATTTGTAGCTTATCCAGCTTGTTGATTTCAGTTGTTAGGGTGAGATAAATGATTTCTTTTCAACTCTGCATAAACTGAAAGCATCTTCTTTACAGTGTGTCCTTTTGTTTTTATTTTTCAGGTTAATATATTTTGGTGGTTATGGGTGTAGGAGACAAAATGAACTCCAAGATTGTTTTGATGTTCATGATGCATCTTGGGTAAGAGAGTATTCACTGGTTTTCCTTTAGGACACAGTACAGCCTTAAGCTAGCTAGAGATTCTGAACCTTATCTTTCCCATTGTAAGAAGTACCCATTTGCTATAATAGACACTGTGACCAAAAAATGTATTTTTTCTCTTTTAGCTTTGTATTCATTTAAAACACAGTGTTAGCCTTCATGACCACAGGCGGAAAACGCTTGTTTTCTGAACAAGTGTTTGGTCATTTAGCTGTTTTTTTTGCCAGAGAGACAAGTAGACCTTAGCACAACTTAGCAGAATTATGCTACACTGACATACTTCTTTTAGCTAGTCTTTTAATTCAGACTGCCCCCCCATATGAATGAATGAGTTGGTTGATATTGATGCTTACTTTCCTGTTTACCCATAATATATAGAAAATAAACCATTATTAATATAAGAGATTAGAATTGTGAAAATTAAAAAATTTAAGAAATTGCTATAAAAATCGATAATCCAACCTTGAGGTTTTATCTCATATTAGCATATATTATTAGTGTACATGACTGATACAAATGTATGAGGACCACTTAGTGTATATATTTTTATATGAGGGGGCTGAGAGAAGCTTATGAAAAAAATATAATTGGAAGTGAATTTTTTCCACAAACTTCTTGAAACTTCCTTCTCTATAGTCATTTAAAATATTTCCTATGTTATTCATTTTTTTTAATTTTCAAAATAAAATATATTTAAAGGTTTGATATTTAAAGAATTACAGTTTTCTGGGAACACTTACTATTATTTGTACTTCATTATTTTTATCTTATCAATTCAATTATTCAATTATTCATGTTTTCTCTTCCTAGTACCAGGAGCCCGGGTGGTGCAGTGGTTAAATGCTTGTCTGCTATGGAAAAGTTGGTGGTTAAAACCCACTAGCCACTCTGTGGGAGACAGATGTGGCAGTCTGCTTCTTTAAAGATTTACAGCCTTAGAAACTGTATGGGACACTTCTACCCTGTTCTACAGGGTTGTTATGAGTAGCAATCAACTTGATGGCAATGGGGTTGGATTTTCAGGTTTTAGTACCATTAACTACCTAATAAACATGCCCTGAAGTTTGGTGTTTTTGCTTTATACTACTGTAGTATATTGCTTAGTTTATTTGATTTGTTGGATAAATTGTGACAAAAATAAATGATGATTTATTTCTGACATAGGACATAAAACTGGCACAGAGGAAGTTAGTGTAGTGATAGAGAATTTCAATAATCTGGAAGATGTTAAATACAATTATTGTTGTTATGTGCCATCCATTCAATCCGGACTCATAGTAACCCTATGTGCAACAAATGAAACACGAAATCCAGTCCTGTACCATCCTCACAATCATCGATATTTGAACCCACTGTGGTAGTAGCCACTTTGTCAGTCCACCTCATTTCGGCCGTCCCCATTGTCACTGTCTTTGCAGGGCTTGATGACCTCCTCCAGGAATTGGTCCCTCATAATAACATATCCAAAGCATTTAAATGAAATCTTTCCTCCTTCTAAGGTGCTTTCTGGCTATGCTTCTTCCAAGACAAGCACACTCCTTCTTTGGAAGCCTGTGATATATTTAATGTTCTTCTCCCAAACCATAGTTTAAAGACATCGATTCCTCTTTGGTCTTTCTTAGTCCTTGTCCAGCTTTCGCATGCATGGGCGGCAGTGGAAGGGACCACACCTGGGTGACATCTTTGCCTTTTGCCCTGTGAGAGATCTTCTTAATACAGTGTGTTGTTTGATTTCTTGACTGCTGCTTTCACAGGTGTTGATGGTGGGTCCAAGTAAAATAGAATCCTTGATATTGCTTATTGGTCTCCTTGTGAAATAGTTCCCTGTGTCTTTACATTACGGTGAAGGCCATAGTCTTGAATCTCTATCACTTAAGCTCCTCAAGCTCTCTTTACTTTCTGCAAGCCATGTTGTGTCTGTCGTCTTCATATTGTAGTTTGTTAATGAGTTTTCCTCCTTTCCAGATTAAAAAAAAAATCATTTTATTGGGGGCTCATACAATTCCCATCACAATCCATGCATACGTCCATGTGTCAAGCACATATGTAGATTTGTTGCCATCATCATTCTCAAAACACTTGCCTTCTACCTGAGCCCTTAATATCGGCTGCTCATTTTCCCCCTTCCCCCCCACTTCCCCCTCCCTCAGGAACCCTTCATAATTCAAAATTATTATTATTTTGTCATATGTTACACTGTCTGATGACTCCCCTGCCCTTTCTCTGCTGTCCATCCCCCAGGGAGGAGGCTATATGTAGGTTCTTGTAGTCGGTTCCCCCTCTACCCTCCAGGCATCGCCACTCTCACCACTGGTCCTGAAGGAGTCAGCTGTCCTGGATTCCCTGTGTTTCCAGTTGCTACCTGTACCAATGCACATCCTCTGGCCTAGCCAGATTTGTAAGGTAGAATTGGGATCATGATAGTGGGGGCGAGGAAGCATTTAAGAACTAGAGGAAAGTTCTATGTTTCATCGTTGCTACCCTGCACCCCGACTGGCTCATCTCCCCACAACCCTTCACTAAGGGGGTGTCCAGTTGCCTACTGATGGGCTTTGAGTCTCCACTCTGCACTTACCTACATTTACAATGATAAGATTTTTTTGTTCTTTGATGCTTGATACCTGCTCCCTTCAACAGCTCGTGGTCACACAGGCTGGTGTGCTTCTTCCTTGTGGGCTTTGTTGCTTCTGAGTTAGATGGCCGCTTGTTTATCTTCAAGCCTTTAAGACCCCAGATGCTATATCTTTTGATAGCCAGGCACCATCAGCTTTCTTCACCACATTTGCTTATACACACATTTCTCTTCAGTGATCGTATCAGGAAGGTGGGCACCCACTGATATGATTTTTAGTTCTTTGATGACTGATAACTGGTCCCTTCTCCACCTCGTGGTCAGACAGGCAGGTGTGCTTCTTCCATGTGGGTTTTGATGCTTCTCAGCTAGATGGCCACTTGTTTATCTTCAGGCCTTTAAGACCCCTGATGTTATATCTTTTGACAGTCAGGTACCATCAGCGTTCTTTACTACATTTGCTTATGCACACATTTTTCTTCCGCAATTGAGTCAGGAAGGTGTGCATCCTGGAATGCCAATTTAATGGAACAATGTGTTCTTGCATTGAGTAAGTGCTTGAGTGGAGGCCCAATGTCCACCTGATGCTAAATATATGCACATAGATCTGTTTCCCCACACTCTTATATAAATGTATTTACATAAGTACATTCCAGTCTTTAGACCTCTATAAATACCCAATAACCCAGTTTCTCAGATTATTTTCTCAGTTTGCAGATTGAAATAAAATGGTGAAATAAACCCTGATGCATACCTTTCCTAACTTTAAAAATAAGCCCTGATACATGCCTTTCCTAACTTTAAACCACTAATAGTTTCCATGTAAGTACAATTAAGTATTTACAAATTCCCATTCTTTATACTATATTGGGTAATTTCTTATGTTCAGCAGTTGAATGCCTTTACATAATCAATAAAATTTACATCAACAACTTTCTAGCAGGTATTCTGTACTTTCAGCTAAGATCCAGCTGAACATCAGCAACGATATCCCTCATTCTATGACTTCTTATGAATATAGCTTGAATGCTGGCAATCCTATTGATGTACTGCTACAACTGTTTTTAAACTGTTTTCACTCTACTTTTACTTTCCTGTGGTATTGTTTGATATTTTCTTCATTATATTGGATTACCTTTCTTTGTAATAGGCATGTATGTGAGTTTAGGCCAGTTGACTGGCCCAGCCACTGATTTCCAAATTTCGTGGCATAGATGAATGAATACTTCCAGTGTTCTGTCCCTTTGTAAAGCAGCTCAACCTCTCAGTGTTCTGCTAACTCTTGGAATCTTGTTTTTCACCAATACCTTCTTATACAGCTTCCTTCAATACTACCACTTCCTGATCACACATTACCTCCTGAAATGATTGAGCATTGACTAATTCTTTTTGGTACAGTGACTTTGTATTTTTTTCCATCTTTTTTATCATACAATATTTTGCCCACAGACTCCTTCAGTATTACAACTTGAGGCTTGAATTAGTTTTTTCAGTTCTTTGAGCTTGAGCAATGCTGAGTGTATTCTCCCCTTTTGTTTTAATAGCTCCAGATAGATCTTTACTACACGTTTCATTATAATGCTTTATCTTCTCGAGCTACCCCTTGAAATTTTCTTTTCAGCTTTGTAATGCCATCAAACCTTCCTTTCTCTTTAGCTACTTCATGTTTGAGAAACAAATTTCATAGTGTCTTTGGATATCCATTTTGGTCATTTTGCTTTCTTCCTATATAATGTCCTTGATGTCATCCACAGATGGTTTGGCCTTCATTAGTATTCAGCGCATCACATTAATTCTTGAATTAGTATTTTAGTTCAGGTGGGATAGTCTTAAAGCTGTATTCTTACTCTTGTGGACTTGTTTTATTTTTCAAGCTTCAACCTGAACTTGCATGTGAGCAATGTGTGATCTGCAGAGAAGACTTTCCTTTTCAGTTTGTCATTCTTGGCATAATAAGCCATATGGTTAAAATTGATTAAATTGATTAAATTGATTAAAATTTATTAAAAATAATCAATGCCAGCCCATTTCAGCTCACTAATGTCGAGAATATCTAGCTATAAGCCTTCCATTTCACTTTTAATAACTTCTAATTTTTCTAGATTTGGACTTTGTACCTTCCATGTTCTAATTAGTAAAAGGTGTTTGCAACTGTTTTTTCTCCTTTGGATCATGCCAAACCAGCAAACGAAGGTCCCCAAAGTTGCACTCCACTCATGTCATTAAGGTTTGCTCTACTTGGATGAGCGAGCTCTTCTTAGAATGTATTTTTAGTGCCTTCCAACCTTAAGGGCTTATCTTATGGCACCATTTCTGATACTAATCTGCTGATACGACTAAGGTTTTCATTGGCCAATTTTTTCAGATTTCCAGGGTTTTCTTCCCAGTATGTTGTAGTCTGGAAGCACCTCTGAAACCTTTCCACCGTGAGTGTTCTTGTTGGTATTTGAGGCATCAGGGGCATAACTTCCAGCATCGAAGCAAAATGCAAGCCACCACTTCCATATCAGTTCTAACAACAGATCAGAACCGGCGGCCAGTCCTCAGTGAAAAAAAAATAAAATGCAAGCCACCACAGTAGGAAAAGCTGCTAAATATTTTCCTTGCTGACTATTCTTTCTCCTAGAGGATAGAGAAAAGCATAAGGTTCGCTATAAGGAAACATCGATGACATAGAAATAAATGGAGTTTTTCTGGAAAAAGAACCCTCTATAGTTTCTTAAAGGAAAAATAAGCAATTCTAGGTATATTGGAAAACAGATTTCCAAACACAAACATTATACATCCTTTGAAATGTACAAAGAAACAATCCCTTGAGCAAACTGGGAGATACTCATTAAGCAAGATTCGGACACTGTAAGTGATTAAGAAATACTGCCAGGTAATGCTACAGCTGTTCTAGGGACCACACTTTATGAACTGCTGGTATATGCTTTCGCTTTGTAACTATAGTAACAATTAACTCTGTTTCTGCGTCTAATCCTATAAAATATTTCTCTTTTAGGAAGAGCAGATATTTTGGGGATGGCATAATGATGTTCATGTATTTGACACGAAGAAGCAAACATGGTTTCAACCAGAAATCAAAGTGAGTATTATAAAGTTAGCTTTATTGTCATTGGTTATATCTCTTTTGGCGGGGGGTGGGGGGGGGGTGGACTGGCCTCCCCACAACCAAATGAGTCAATTGTGTAATTGAGGGGTAAATTAAAGAGACATCAGACAAGATAAAGCATGCAAGGGTTCACCTCTCAGTCATTATTTCAGGAGCCGGGTCTGAGCAGGGAGAGCAAGTCATGTAATCTCGTGAGTTTATATAATCTGGGGCACGCAGGCCATGGTAAGCACATACGTAACAGGAAGGGGTTGTACAATAGGCATACAAGTAACAGGAGGAGGACGAGCTAGGAGTACACAAAAAATAGGAAAGGGACGCACTAGGGGCACACATGTGACAGGAAGGCACATACAGAACAAGATGGGTGAAATTTAGAATCAATGTCAGCCTAACCTTGGTTGTCTGAGTTGGCTTGACCTTAGGTCTCTTTGAGCTTTTTTTCAGGGGAACCATCCATTATCCCTATCAGTAGGGAGTGGGTCCTATTTAGGGTGGGACAGACAATAGGGTCTGATTGCCTTAGATGGCTGACAACTTTCAGGCAGATAACCTTCAAGCAGTTGACCTATAAGTGTATAGTCAGTGATCATGTGTTTACAAACAGCACCTTAAATTTGGCATTATTCTGAGGGGACACTGAGGGGAATAACTTTTACTTAAGAGAATGTGAATGGGATACATCTTCAACCCACAAAAGTGAAGGTTTCCTCCGTGGGAGCCTTGGCCTTCCAGACTCCTTAACTTATCGATGTTGAGAGTTTGTCCACATACACTCTCTTCCAGGTTCTGTTTCCCACAGAGGGGTTTAATTTATTTGGGTTTTTATTCATTGGATTTGTAACCATGTACAACATAGGTCGCAAGTACTACTACCAATAAATGGGCTCTCAAGATGAAGAAACTACTAGATTCCTTTTAGTTCTTAGACTTCAGATTTTTTCTTGCCTCCTTGTCTCTTCTTTCCTTAATATAAACTTTGCCCATCCTTATGGCCTCAAGGCTTTACATGCACATAGCGTTGTTTTGGTGTAAGAAACCACAGTGAACCCTCGTTTATCGCGGTTAATCAGTTCTAGACCCTACCGTGATAAATGAAATTCCGCGAAGTAGGATTCCTTATTTGTAAATCAAATATTTTCGTAGTTAGAGCATAGAGGACATGAAAAAACACCCTTTAGTCACCATTACACTCGTATTACCCAATTTATTAAACGAAAAAGGGAAAATACAGTAAAACATTTTGGACGTTACAATGATCATTTATTATTTATTATATTATTTATGGCATCTAGTTTACAGTATTACATATTTCACATACAGTATTATTATACATAGTTCTTACAAATACTGTAATCAATAGCCTATGAAATGACTTAAGGGATGTACTCTACAGGTGGGTCGCCGTCTTTTTCCTCTGAAGGAGCGGGTGTAGGCAGTGGGTGCTGTTACGCAAAACCGCGATAAAGTGAAGCCGCGAAGTCGAAGCGCGAAGTGGCGAGGGTTCACTGCATATCTTTTTATTCAGGTGTGCTAGGGTTTTCTCGAAGAGCTCATTTTATTTTGTTTTATTTTTTTTATTATTTTTAAACATTTTATTAGGGGCTCATACAACTGTTATCGCAATCCATACACACATCAATTGTGTAAAGCGCATTTGTACATCATTCTCAAAACATTTTCTCTCCACTTAAACCCCCGACATTAGGTCCTCAATTTTCCCCTCCCTCCCGAAGAGCTCATTTTAAAAGGTACCATCATCACCTTTACCCACAATGGTGATACATTAGTAAGAGAGGCTTTTATAAAGCCCTTTTATAACATAGGCCTTGATTTTTAAAAGCCTTGAAATCAGAACTGCATACAGTTAGAGCATGAAAAAATATATGGACACTTTCCTTTGCTAGTGGCCAAGTGCAAATTAAAATTAGTGTAGCCAATAATGAATTCTCAGATAGCTAGGAACCATTGGCCTGGTTCACTCCGTGGAAGAACTTGATTGAGGGATTAGCACGTCAGGGACTGGAACAAGTTAGGCAGTATCGTCAAAATACCACCTCTTTTTGTTTGCTTCTCCCTGCTTCTTCTTGTGTCCTGGCTTCCTTCTGCCTTGCTGCAGACCCACTGACTCACTTAGCAGGGATTGTGGCCGGCCCTGACTACACAGCAGTTCTTTCTGTTGGCGCTTCATTTTCTCAGTGTCTATATATTAGTCATAGAAAAAAGGCTCTACCTCTACTGGGGCATGTGCCCATTCCTTACATCTATCCTGTTGTCCAGAGGATGATTAGCCAGTACTGAGTCATAAGTCTGTCCTAAGGGTAACATGGTACTACACAGCATGGAATACAGAGTAGGCAAGAACCACAGTGTTCACTAAAGTGCATACATAATTGAATTCCTTATAGCAGTTTCTGTTGATGGAACTGTTGAGAGGTTCTATGCAAAATAGTATTATAAAATTAGGCCCTTCTCAACATCCTCATTTTCCAAACCTTGAATTTCAAGTTTCTGTTACTGTTCTCTGTACTGTATTTCCAATTGTAAGACCAAACCAAACTCATTACCATTGGGCTGATGTCAATTCATAGTGACCCTATAGAACAGGTAGAAGTGCTCCTGTTGGTTTCCAAGACTGTAATTCTTTAAGGAGGTAGCTAGCCCAGTCTTTCCCTGGAAAAGCAGCTGGTGGTTTCAAACTGCTGACCTTGAGGATCAGCACAATGAGTAACCACTATTCCACAAGGGCTATAACAGCCATTTCTACTTGTTGATAAGATGTTCCTTCAAGCTTCATTTGAAATTATTTTATTTTATTTTTAAAGATCATTTTATTAGGGGCTCATACAACTCTTATCACAATCCATACATACAGCAATTGTGTAAAGCACATTTGTACATTCGTTGCCCTCATCGTTCTCAAAACATTTGCTCTCCACTTAAGCCCCTGGATGCATTTGAATTTTAAGATTTGTGATTGTTATTAATGAAAGATTTTTTTACCTCTGTTAAAATAATTTCCTATACTTACCTGGCAGGGGAGATACCATGATCATGAAGGTGGTTTTCCAGGGCGAGGCTTAGCCATTGCACTTCAGATGTGCTGACCCCTGCAATTTCCCCAAATGTGGGAAACTTGACTGCATAATTTGTGGTAGTGGGAGACTGCGTTCGGGCTCTCCCCTGTAGAAAAAAAAAATTCCTATCTGCTGGCAAGTGGAAAGAAATGTTATTGACAATGAGTCTACTGAAAATCATGCAGTCTCTTTCAGTCCCCTCCACTGTTATTTCTGTAGAGCATAAACAAAGACCCGAGGCTACTGAAAGAATGCTTTTAGAATGTGCTCCCAAGATGAAAACGGCTCCTTTTAGTTCTTTGGACTCCAGGTCTCCCTATATCCTCCATTCTCTCTGTACCTTAATAGAAACTCTTCTCTTCCGTCTGCCCCAACAATCTCAACAATCTTGAATGTACACGATGCTGTTTTTGTTAGAATCTAACCGTGTTCTCACTCATTTCCTTATTATGTGTTCAAATAAATTTGTATGCATTCGTTCTCTGTATTTAAGAGATAAGAGGGGCTGCAAAAAGTTTTTGGGACCCCCTACTATCATGATCCCAATGCTACCTTACAAATCTGGCTAGACCAGAGGATGTACACAGGTACAGATAGCAAATGGAAACACAGGGAATCCAGGACAGATGACTCCTTCAGGACCAGTGGTGAGAGTGCCAATGCCTGGAGGGTGGAGGGAATGTGGGGTGGAAAAGGGGAACTAATTACAAGAATCTACATATAACCTCCTCCCTGGGGGATGGACAACAGAGAAGTGGGGGAGGGGAGACACCAGACAGTATAAGATATGACAAAATAATAATAATTTATGAATTATGAAGGGTTCATGAGGGAGGGGAGGGGGGAGGGAGGGAAAAAGTGAGCTAATATTAAAGGCTCAAGTAGTAGGCAAATGTTTTGAGAATGATGATGGCAACAAATGTACAAATGTGCTTGACACAATGGATGTATGTATGGATTGTGATAAGAATTGTATGAGCCCCCAATAAAATGATTAAAAAAAAAGTTTTGGGGCAATTCCATTATCATTCAGCTTCATTTTTTCTGTGAACTTTTAAAAGTTTTTTCATGCTCTTAAATTATTTCATTATTCTCAAATGTCTGTATCCAAATGCAAGGCAGCATGGTAAAATATAGTAGTCTTTGGCACTGCAGTTGAAAAAACTGGCCTTACTTTCTGTGTTATAAAAACCATTCCATGGTTCATCTATAGAATCAAGTGTTAACAGGATTTTATTATGTGAGTTTTTTGCTCCTAGGAGAGCAATGGCAATCATAGAGATACTTGGGCTATTCTCAGTATTTTTTGGAAAGAAACCTAATAAATATTGTATACTACTTATACAGCTGGGTATACAGTTTGATCCAAATATCATTTCTTTGTGTTTTCTGGGATTTATATAAGCTCAGTATATTCAAAGGGTTTGGTCATTAATTGAAATTGATAAATAAAAAATCACTGTATAATAAATGTGATGATTATAGTAGACAAAATTTTTCCCTAAAAAAATATTAGGTCAAAGATGGAATCATAAAACTTTTTTATTTGCTGGAGAGGGCTGGGAACCATAACTCTTGAATAGTTCTCTGTCGCTTATTTAAGTGTTTTAAAGGTAATATCTGAATTATTTTTACCATGTAGCTCCCACCAAAGTTATTCAAGTCAGTCTGAAATTGTAGGAAATTATGATAATGGATATATAGCTTAAATGCCCCATGCCCAAAGTCAGTAGCCAATGAGCTAAAAATGTTGGATTCTCTTAGAATCAGCTTATTATGGAATTTGAAGCACCAACGTTTTGAATGAGCAGATTTAATTTTTCAAAATCTCTGAGATCATTACATTTGTACTACTCATAATACTAACTGTGTGATAGCATGATTGAGAGACTCACTCTTTTCTTATTCTCATAGATTCTTAAATCCTTACGTTTCAACCAAAATTTACATGAAATATTATTTTGCTAAATAGTGTAGATCATTTAAGAAACGCACTTTAACTAGTAAAGATTGAGGAAAATAAATTTCATTCTTAAAGATGAGTATTTGTTCATAATTTAGTACAAAGAGTAGTCTTGTGTATTTGGGTTTTTAATAAAATTATATAGGTAATAGTAATTTAGTAATCAAGTACTGCTGATACAGAACATAGGAATGTGATTTCATTATCGATGTTTCATGATTTTGTACTCTGTTCCGATCTCTGCTTGCAGGGTGGCGTTCCACCTCAGCCCCGAGCCGCGCATACATGTGCAGTTCTTGGAAATAAGGGCTATGTCTTTGGCGGACGTGTTTTGGTTGGTGTTTTTAAAGGAAATGTTGTTTTTATGTCTGGTGCATTTTATAAAAATGTATCTTCTGTGGGTATTTATCCTTATAGGGAGATTGGGCTAGCACTGAGGATACTAAACAAAAACCATAAACAAATCTGGGCTTCAAAAGAATTATCCTCTGATTTTGTGAGCCAATTGAACATTCAAATAATGTAGAGATAAAAATATTCAGTAGTAATTTTTTTCTACTACCAAAACAGACAGGGACTTACTAAAGATAAGTATAAATCCTGTTTCAAGGAAAATCTTTCACTTGAATGCATTATTGGAAATGTTTAGATTCTTGTCATCTAAATCCTGTTAGTTTAAACCCATTTCATTCTTTACCCTCTTACATAGTAATTTGGCAGCTTTTGTTAATTTTATTAATAATTAACACTTAACTATTTAATTAATTACAACTAAACATTATTTTCCAATATGTAAACTTCTGATACTAAGCAGCATAGAAATGGCCTATTTTTAATCTGAATATATTTTAAAACAAATTCTGGCATGTAAAAGATATAAAGTACTGACCAATTTAATACCCTTTTATTTTAGCAAAGTAGGATGAATGATTTGCACTATCTAAACCTAGATACCTGGACTTGGTCTGGAAGGTAAGTTTGAAATCTGAGTATATTTTAAGCCAATAAGCATTGTGTGTTCGTGTGTGTTGTGTCATGATCCAGATCTGGCTCTCTAAAAGTGAACTTTTTTCCCCCATCAGTTTATATTTCTAAACTAGGAATACACAGAATAAATACAGAGTTCATTTTTTATAAAACCAAAGAAAGCATGAGAGTACCAGTAGTTGACAATTGATTATGGAAAAGAACCTCTTGTACTAAGTGTTATACTTAGTTTACTAAGTGTTATTTGACGACTGTCATTAGAAGAAATGAAAGAGGTTGAATGTGTCATCTCAGATGAACAGATGATACAAATAGTAAAGGTCAGATTTTACTTAAAGCTCACAATTTATATTTGACAAGAGAATAAATATATTGAATTATCAATTTACCTATTCACATAATGAAATAGAAGTAGAGGTAAATTTTTATCTTCAAGTATAAATATCATTAAAAATAAAATCATGAGCATATCAGAAGAAACTATATTAGACTGTGTTTAAAATCTTAGCATGAGCATTTTTTTAAAGCTGATGTAAATCCAAAACTGATGAATAAAGAATACTGAGAAGATAGCTTAAAATC